TAATTAGTTCATCAATGTAGTTATTAATATATACTTAATATTGTGTTCAAATATTCAAATTATGTAAGTGAGAGAGGCACTGTCATTGTTGCTGTTGACGCTTAAAGCCTCAACTCTGATTTTGCTAATATATTCTTTCAAGGTACGGTGACATTCATAAAATTTCACTATCTAAGAAATCTTAGCAAGTAATATTCCCGTAAATTAATAGAAAGTCAAACAAGTGTTAGCCCATGGCTCATGAACATCTTCCATTTCAGTAATTTTTCCAACTACTTCCACATTAAAATTATCTGGAGAGTTTTAGAAAATATGACACAAATTTCACCTAAACCAATCAATTTCAAATCCCCGAGGACAGAGCCTCAGCACTGGTATTATCTGGAAGGTCCCTGGGTGTTTTGGATGTGCAGACACAGTTAAGGACTGTGTAGTTTTCTCCCTACTATTTTTTATTCTTTTCTTGTTTGCCTTTTTCTCTTCTTAGTCCGGGCTTGGCTGAAAAATTACCTTCCTCAGTAATAGACAGATTTAATTGGAGGCCTCTGTTTGTATTGAAGTTGCCAGGCTATATTTCCTGTGGAAAAGAAAACTGGCTAGTTCCTGACAGCAACTGCCTCGTTCCTGACAGCCACTGCCTCACCTGTTTCTCTGAATCTACAGATAAATTAAAGTACAAACATATTCAAAGCGATAACAATAGAGCTTTCTCTGCAGACTCAAAAGTGGTTTTGAGTTACTCAAGTGTTTTATATTTATTGATGATAATGTTTTAACGAAGGGATGCTGAGTTATGCTTACCATAAACCACTGGCAAATTTGCCATTTCAAGTCCAAAGTATGGTGCAATGCAACTCATTTGCATGTATCTCTTTATCACTTGAACGACTAAGAAGTGATTTCATAACAGATGACTATTATAAAAAGTATTTGGACATGAATAATGTTAAAGGCACCATGAGGTGTCACAAGAATTAAGTGCCTCTTGTGTCATCGCATATCTGAATGCTTTTTTATTTACAGAGTGTTATGTCCCACAAATATTTGGTAGATACGGTACAGAGGTGATATAGTATTTTTTATAGACAATTCCGAATGAGTATAACATCATGTTACAGGTTGGAGGAGAAAGACATTTATTTATCTCACGTGTCTGCAGCCATCTCTGTAATTTTGTCTTTTCAAGCCAGCAGATTCTTGTCTGTCCCCTCTTTGTATAATAATGGGGTTGGTCAATAATAAAAAAAATTTAGACTATATTGTGATATAAAATTAAACATTATTTGCAAGTCCTCCTGTATTGAGGTTTACGGAATTTTCTGCTAATTCAGAGCTTCTCTTTACTTTTATAGCAGTGTTCCCAGAGTGAAAGCCTCAGCCACATTCATAGGATAAATTTCCATGTCTAGGCGTGCCTTGAATGTGCACACTGTGTGCCAGGTAGAAATTGATTTGAATGTTGAGCAACATACAGGCATACTTCATTTCATTGTGCTTCACTTTGTTGTGCTTCACAGATACTTTGTTCTTTAAATGGAGGCAATGGCAAAATGGCAACCCTGGCATGGCATGGCATCCAGCCAGTCTATCAGGACCATTTTTCCAATAGCATGTACCTATTTCATATCTCCATGTCACATTTTCATAATTCTTGCAATATTTCAGACTTTTAAAAAGATTATTCTATCTGTTTTGGTGATCTGTGGTCAGTGATCTTTGATGTTACTATTGTAATTGTTTTGGGGCTCCATGAACTGTGCCCATGTAAGACGGAGAGCTTATTCAATAAATGTTGTGTATGTTCTGACTGCTCCACTGACCAGCTGTTCCCCCACGCCTCTCTCTCTCGCCTCAGTCCTCCCTATTTCGTGAGGCACAACAATCATGGAATTGGGTGGGCGAATAACCCTACAGTGGCCTCTATTTATGGGAATGGAATCGTCACACATCTCTCACATACAATCAGAAGCTAGACATGATTAAGCTTAGTGAGAAAAACATGTCAAAAGTGAGATAGGCCAAAAACTAGTGCCAAACTATTAGGAAAATTGTGGTGGCAAATGAAATCTTCTTGAAGAAAAATTTAAAGCGTTCCTTCAGTGAACAGACAAATGATAAAGTGGAATAGATAAATGATAAATGAAACAGCCGTTGCTGTTTCAGTGAAATTGCTGATAGGAGACTATTTTAGTGGTCTGGATAGAAGATCAAACCAGCCACAATATTCCCTTTAGCCAAAGCCTAATCTGGAGCAAGGCACCAATTCCTCAATTCTATGGAGGCTGTAAAAGGTGAGGAAGCTGTAGGAGAAAGGTTTGAAGGTAGCAAAGGTTAGTTCATGAGGTTTAAGAAAATAACCCATCTTCATAACACGAAAGTACAAGATGATGGGGTAAGTGTTGAAATAAAAGCTTCAGCAAATTATTCAAAATATCTAGCTAAGATAATTGATGAAGGTAGCTACACTAACAACAGATTTTACTTGTAGACAAAACGGCTTTATAATGAAAGAAGATGCCATCTAGGGCTAGCAAGAGAACAAGATTTAGAAGTGGAGCCTAAAGATGTGACAGAATTGCTGCAGACTTGTGATAAAACGTAAATGGATGAATTGCTTCTGATGAATTAGCAAAGAAAGCGGTTTCTTCAGATGAAGACTACTCCTAGTGGAGATGCTGTACACATTGATGAAATGACAACAAAGGACTTAGGATAACACATACATTTAGTTGATAAAGCAGTGATAGGGTTTGAGAGACATGACTTCAATTTTGAAAGAAGTTCTACTGCAGGTAAAATGCTTTTAACAGCATCACATGCCCCAGAGAAGTCTTTCACAAAAGAAAGAGTTAATTGATGTGGCAAACTCCATTGTATTATTTTTAAAAATTGCCACAATAACCCCAGCCTTCAACAACCACCAGCCTGATCATTCAGCAGCAATTCTCCTGCCTCAGCATCTTGAGTAGCTGTAACTACAGGCATGCGCCACCACATCCAGCTAATTTTTGTGGTTTTAGTAGAGATGGGGCTTCATCATGTTCACCGGGCTGGTCTCGAACTCCTGACCTTTAGGTGATCTGCCTAACTTAGCCTCCCAAAGTGCTGAGATTACAGGCATGAGCCACTGCACCCAGCCAAAGAAGACTGAATCCATGACTATTGTAATAGAAGAGAGGGACTGACCTTCACTGAAACAAAAATTAGAAGGGTTTTTAAGCACTGGGATAAGCTAGTGGAAAGTACTAGTTGACATTAGGGGATAGATTGATCAATGAGATCGTTTGATCACATTAAATTAGTCCTGAGTTTGCAAACGTTTTTCTCTGTAAATAGGCCACCTGTGTTTGCTAATTGTTACCCATCAAAGTTAGGTTCCTGTCTTCTCAAAGAGACTGAAATACAGTGGTGCGGTCTTTACATTTCTAAGAGATGGCTCCCAGGTTCTTGAGAAAGACATTTCCTTGACTCTAAAACTGGCAAATAGCTGGGAAGAGATTGACATATATTTCAAAAGGGAAGAGAAAGAATTTACAATTGCAAATTTTCTAAAGTAAATACTCTACAAAAAGGGAGATCAGGGGTCCATTGTCTGACAGACTATGTCTAAAGCTTAGTCAAGCTGAGAGGAACTGTTTTTATCATTGAGTAGTGCTGATGTCTCAAGGAGAAATGACCTCAATAAAGAGTCACTCCTAAAAAGTAGTGCCATCAAAGTTTCTTTAATGAAGCAGAGCCCCAGGGCAGTGCTGAGTGAAGAAGGGCATTTCTTCATACCAATTCTGCACAGTAATCATTGAAGCAGATAGGAGCAAAGTCTGCCAGAGCCAATGAAGAGCAAGGTCCATGAAAGATCAATAGGAAGTAACAGCAGAACTGACAACAAAAAGCATTCCTGTAATAGCACCTTTCTGGGAAGTAGGTGGGAAGTTTAATTCTCCCTTTGGCTAGTGTGGCAGCTGTGGTACCAAGCACAGGAAAGTCAGTGGGTATAATGGAAGGTGGCAACTACTCATAGGCACATGTGAGTACCCCATGAGCCACCCTGGAGTGAAAGAAAAATATAGTCATGCATTGCCTAACAACAGGCATATGTTCTGAGCTATGTGTCAATAGACAATTTCATCATTGGGTATACTTACACAAACCTAGATGGTGTAGCCTGCTGCACACTTAGGTTATATGGTGTAGCCTACTGCTCCTAGGCTACAAACCTGTACAATGTGTCACTATACTGAATACTATAGGCAATTAAACTGAAATACAGTTTAACCTAACATTGCCCCCTTACCTAGATAAGCTTGGCCTGAAGTTTTTCTTGTACCTCATGAACTGTATAACAAGTGGAGGTGTAAACCAATCGTAGCTCACATCTGTGCCAGTCACTGAGTTTTGGGCAATCAAATGTAGCCAACTGTTCAGACTGTGTTCAAATAAGGCAAACATGAAGCTGTAACCAATCCAGTTGTTTCTGTACCTCACTTCCGATTTCTATACGTCACTTCCCTTTTTTTGTCTATAAATCTTTTTTCACAATGTGGTTGCATGGGAGTCTCTCTGATTATGCTATGATTCTGAGGGATGCCCAGTTAGCAGATTGTTCATTGCTCAATTAAACTCCCTTAAATTTAATTCAGCTAAAGTTTTTCTTCTAACAGAACACAATGGTAAATATTTGCATATCTAAACACAGAGATGGTAGAAGGATGGTAACCAGAGGCTGAGAAGGATAGTTGGGGAGTTGGTGGGGAGGTGGGGTTGGTTAATGGGTACAAAAAATAGAGAAAATGAGTAAGACCCACTATTTGATAACCTAACTGGGTGACTATATTCAATAATAACTTAATTGTATTTTTTTTGAGCAAAGTTTCTCTCTTGTAACCCAGGCTGGGGTGCAATGGCATGAGCTTGGCTCATTGCAGCCTCTGCCTCCCAGGTCCAAGTGATTCTCCTGCTTAGCCTCTCAAGAAGCTGGGATTATAGTCACCTGCCACCACGCCTGATTGATTTTTATATTTTTAGTAGAGGCAGGGTTTCACCATGTTGACTAGGCTGGTCTCAAAGTCCTGATTTCAGATGATCCACCTTGGTTTTAAAGTAAGTTAGGGTATAATTAGATTGTTTGTAACTCAAGGGATAAATGCTTGAGGGGATGGATACCCCATTCTCTATCATGTGCCAATTTCACATTGCATGCCTGTATCAAAACATCTCGTGTATCCCATAAACGTGCACACCTATTATGTACCCACTAAATTAAAAATAAATAAAAATAAATTTAAAAAGAAAAGGTACAGTAAAAATACGGTATTTTAATCTTATTAGATAGCCATTGTATATGTGGTCTGTCCTTAACAGAAATACCCTTATGTGGGATATGAATATATTTGGAAGTGGTTATGGTTTTAATGACATTGTAGGGAGAAATGATCCTAAGAAGTTGTCTATATTTCCAATTGATGTAGTTTTGGAAGCAGCATACTTAATTAAAAATAATATACTTGTCTTCATTCTTCAAATAGAAATTTCAATTTCAGTTTTGCTGCTTACTACCTATGTTATCTTGAGCAAGTTCCTTAAATTCCTTATGCTTGAGTTTTTGCTTCTGAAAAAATAATAATATAAATCCTGTGCAAGATTGGTATAATGTTTAAATGTATAAAAAGCACAAAGCATGTGCCTGGCACATGACAAGCCCTCTACAAAGGTTAGTCCCCTTCCTCCATTACATTCCTGTGAATATACATACATGATAGTCTCAAACATATCAAATTTCTCAATACTCAAGACTAACTGATGTTAAAATCTTGACTAAGTGTCTGCTTTCTTTAGATGGTTTCTGTGCAAAGAAAGTTTAGTAAGTTAACAAATTCTTTAAATTATTAAGGTGACTGAAATGTCTGGCCTCAATTACTTGGATAATTCAATTGAAAAAGATATAGTGTTTTCTTAGCATAATGACCTCAATTATCTAATCTATAATGCATATTTAGGCATACCTAGCTAGCCAAGAGAACTGGAACAACATGACCACAATTTGAAGCTAGAATATCACAAAATTATTTCCAGTAACACTTTTTGATTAGGTGAAATTTTATTGTGTAATAAAATACTTGTAAGAAATACATTTGTAAGAAATCCCTTTAACTTTTCTCATGCTTTATTAAAAATATGAGGATGCTATGATTTATAGATTGAAGACCACCTTTAAATTTATGACTTCTGTACTGTGGAACACATCAAGATATATCATCTGAAAGAATGATTTACAAAGATGTTATGTATTAACATTAATACAAATTTGTGTAATATAATTATATTTGTCTATTTTTTATTTGTTGCCTGAGCTTTTGGAGTCTTATCCAAGAAATTATTGCCCAGAACAATATCATGGAGCTTTTCTCCTTTTTTTTTCCCCTTCTTTCTAGTAACTTACAGTTTTAGGTCTCATTTTAATAAGTCTTTCATTCATCTTAAATTGATTTTTGTATGTGGTATATGATGGGATCCAGTTTCATATTTCTGCATGTGGATATCTATTGCTTTTTTAAAATTTTGTTTTAAGTTCGGGGGAACATGTGCAGATTTGTTATATAGGTAAACTTGTGTCATGGGGTTTGTTGTACAGATTATTTCTTCACCCTAGCGCCCATTAGGTGCTCCTTTTTCTAATCCTCTCCATCCTCCCACTCTCCACCCTCTGATAAGCCCCAGTGTGTACTGTTCCCTTCTATGTGTCCATATGTTCTCATCATTTACCTACTATTTATAACTGAGAACATGCAATATTTGGTTTTCTGTTACTGTGTTACTTTGCTAAGGAAAAACAGCTTCTAGCTCTATCCGTGCTCTTGCAAAGAACACAATCTCATTCTTTTCTTTATGGCTGCATAATATTTTGTGGTGTATATGTACCATATGCAGTCTATCACTGATGGATATTTAGGGTGATTGCATGTCTTTGCTATTGTGAATAGTGCTGAAGGGAACATATGTGTACATGTGTCTTTATAATGTAATTATTTATATTTCTTTGGGCATATACCCAGTGGTGGGTTTGCTGGATCAAATGGCATTTCTCTTTTTAGATATTTAAGAAATTGCCACATTGTCTTCCACAATGGTTGAACTAATTTACATTTCCACTAACAGCGTATAAGGGTTCCCTTTTCTCTGCAACCTCACCAGCATTTGGTAATTTTTAACTTTTTAGTAAATAGCCATTCTTACTTGTGTGAGATGGTATCTCATTTTGGTTTTGATTTGCATTTCTCTAATGATCAGGGATCTTGAGCTGTTTTTTGATATAACTGTTAGATGCCCGTATGTCTTCTTTTGAAAACTGGCTATGTCCTATGCCTACTTTGTAATGGAGTTGTTTTATCTTGTAAATTTAAGTATCCTTATAGAGTCTAGATATTAGACCTTTGTCAGGTGCATAGTTTGAAAAAACTTTCTCCCGTTCTGTAGGTTGTCTGTTTGTTCTGTTGATAGTTTCCTTTGCTGTGAAGAAGCTCCTTAGTTTAATTAGATTCCATTTGTCAACTTTTGTTTTTGTTGCCATTGTTTTTTCTCTCTTCCTTATGAAATCTTTGCCTTTTCCTATGTCCAGAATGACATTGCCTTGGTTGTCTGCCAGGGATATTTTTATAGTAAATAATCTGTAAAACAAATCCCTATGACACAAGTTTACCTATGTAACAAACCTACACTTGTACCCCTGAACTTAAAAGTTAAAAAAAAAAGGCCGGGCGCGGTGGCTCAAGCCTGTAATCCCAGCACTTTGGGAGGCCGAGTCGGGTGGATCACGAGGTCAAGAGCTTGAGACCATCCTGGTCAACATGGTGAAACCCCGTCTCTACCAAAAATACAAAAAATTAGCTGGGCATGGTGATGCGTGCCTGTAATCCCAGCTACTCATGAGGATGAGGCAGGAGAATTGCCTGAACCCAGGAGGCGGAGGTTGTGGTGAGCCAAGATGGCGCCATTGCACTGCAGCCTGGGTAACATGAGTGAAACTCCGTCTCAAAAAAAAAAAAAAAAAATTGGGGTTTTACATTTAATTCTTTAATCATTTTCAAGTTAATTTTTATGTATGGTGTAAGAAAGAAGTCTAGTTTCAATATTATGCATATGGCTAGCCAGTTGTCCCAGGACTATTTACTGAATAGGGAATTCTTTTCTAATTGCTTAATTTTTGTCTGGTTTTCAAAAATCATATAGTTGAAGGTGTGTAGCCATATTTTTGGGTTCTCTTTTCTATTCTTTTGGTTTATGTGTTGATTTTTGTATTAGTACCATGCTGTTTCAGTTACTGTAGCCCTGTTGTATAGTTTGAGGTTGGGTACCTCCAGTTTTGTTCCGTTTGTTTGGCTATTCAGGCTCGTTTTTGGTTCCATATGAATTTTAAGACAGTTTATTGTAGTTCTGTGAAGAATGAGGCCAGCATCATCCTGACACCAATACCTGGCAGAGACACAACAATAAAAGAAAACTTCAGGCCAATGTCCTTGATGAGTATCAATGCAAAAATTCTAAACAAAATACTGGCAAACTGAATTAGCAGCACATCAAAAAGCTTATTCACCACAATGAAGTAGGCTTTATCCCTAGGATGTAAGGTTGACTGAACACATGTAAATCATTAAATGTGATTCATCACATAAATAGAACTAAAGACAAAACCCACACGATTTTCTCAATAGATACAAAAAAGGCTTTTAATAAAATTCAATACCCCTTCATGCTGAAAACTCTCAACTAACTATGTATTGAAGGAACATACCTCAAAATATAATAATCAGAGCCATCTATGACAGAACCACAGCCAACATCATCTTGAATGGGCAAAAGCTGGAAGCATTCCTCTTGAAGGCCAGCACGAGACAAAGATGGCCTCTCTCACCATGCCTGTTCAACACAGTATTGGAAGTCCTGGCCAGGGCAGTCAGGTAAGAGACAGAAAGAAAATGTAAATAGGAAGAGAGGAAATTGAACTATCCTTTTTTGCAGATAACATGATTCTATGTCTAGAAAACCTCATAGTCTCAGCACCAAAGCTTCTTAAGCTGATGAACAACTTCAGCAAAGTCTTAGGGTACAAAATCAATGTACCAAAGTCACTAACACTTATGTACACCAACAGTCAATCCAAGAGCTACATCATAAATGCAATCATAGTCACAATTGGCACAAATAATAAAATACCTAGGAATACAGCTAACCCAGGAGGTGAAAGATTTCTACAAAAAGAACTGCAAAACACTGTTCTATGAAATCAGAGATGACAAAAACAAATGGAAAAACATTCCATGCTCATGGATAGGAAGAATCAATATTGTTTAAATGGCCATACTGCCAAAGCAATTTTTAGATCAATGTTATTCCTATTAAACTACCATGGTTATCAAGATAACCAGCTTCATTCATTAGAAAGACTGTCCTTTTATCATTTTGTGTTTTTATCACTCTTGTCAAAAGTCAGTTGACCAATACCTGTGTTTATTTCTGGACTTTCTGTCCCATTCCACTGATCAATGTGTCTGTTTTCATGCCAGTTTCATGTTGTTTTGATTACAGTAGCTTTATAATATATCAAACTAAAAAGCTTCTGCACAGTAAAGGAAACGATTAACAGAATAACGTTTAACATTAACACACAGGTTGGGAGAAAATATTTAAAACCCATACATCTGATGAAGAGCTAATATCCAACATATATAAGGAACTCAAGCAACTCAATAGCAACAAAATAATAAACCAATTATAAAATAAGCAAAAGATCTGTATAGGCATTTCTCAAAAGAAGATATACAAATGGCTGACACGTATGCGACAAAATCCTCAACATCTCTAATCATCATGAAAAGGCACATTGAAACCACAATGACATACTGCCATACACCTTTTAAAATGACTATTTTCAAAAAGACAAAATGTAAAAAGTGTTGTTGAGGATGTGGAGAAAAGAAAATCTTTGTATGCTGTTGATGGGAATGTAAATTAGCCATTTTAGAAAATAGTATGGAGTGTCCTTAAAAAACAAAAAATAGAATTATCGTATAATCCAGTAAACGTACTTCTGG